ATGCTGCCGCTATCGCTGCTGCTCTTGCCCCTGACGATGAATTGGTCATTAAGACTAAGAGTGGCGTTGATGATGAGATGTTTATGAGTGAGACAGATGAGATCCCTAGTACAACACAACTTGGAGTCGTATCTGATGACTCCTCAGCTGTGACTACCAAAGCTCCAAAAAAGACTGGTGAAGAGATTCCCGTTTTGCCGGCGGTGGCGGACATTCATGAAGTGAAACAAGTCCCCAAACCTATAAGAGAAGAATCACAGTCCACTGGTACCGATAATGCTGCTGATACTGGTGATAAGGCCCCTGTTGAAGTTATCGGGGAAGAAAAGGTTCCTCAAACTGATGGCGCCCACCAAGAGAAAGAAATTACCGATGAAGTAGAGATTTCTGAGATGCCTGAAACTACAACACCGGCCCCTGACGACGCTGCCAAGGAAACATTAAGCGTAAGCCATCGGACAGCTGGGCAAATTGTGGGGGAAATTCAAAATGTTGAATCCATTCAAGAGCTCAAATTCCCGGTGGAAGTTTCCCCGGGGCTAGAATCTTCTCCCGCAGTTGTCCTGGACATCAACGAGGTGGGTGCTATAGAAGAAGAGTCCCAGGCCGCTGACGAAGCCTCTGCTGCTGAGGCCCCGGACTCTGATTTAAGTATTACTCTCTCCCCATTCTCTAAATACCCGACTTCCGTAAACGGAGCTCTGTCCCCACTACACGTCAAGGCTTTCCCGTACAGTGCTTACAACTTCCATTTACCAAACCCGATACTATTCAACGTGCCAGCACCCTCAAGAGAAATTTCCCACAAACCTGTTACACCGTACTACCATTTTGTTCATCAAAACAGTCTCAACTACCCATTTCACTACGCCCCTCATTTTGTTAAATACCAGTACGTTTCTGCCTAAGAATGTGAATCTTGTTAGTAACCTTACTCTTTTGTGAATCTCTGTGACAACATTGATTTCCTAGGGAAGAGAAACAAGGGTATATTTTTTTCTTGTGTTAGTCGGAAAGTTTGGGTCCGGAAAATAAGAAATTTTCCCTTGAAAGCGCAGGCGATGCTCTTGTAACGTCCGCATTAGAGGTGAGGTCTAATAATGGCACAAACTCGTTTTACGAGTATATGCATTCTGTTTAACGCTCTGTAACTTTTGTACTTGGTGTAACAGCATACAATAAAATTAATTAAAACAATACGTATTTTTCTTTACTATTATAGAAAAATCCTATAAACGACGGAACTACGTATGCATTTATTTAGTATGACTTTAATTTCTTGTGTAAGGCACCTGTGGTATGTGATAATCTTGTTAACACATGTGGCTTCGTACAAACACCGTCCACATCCTTGTAAGATGGGCGTCCTTCACGGCACCAGGGTGAGCATTCGTGGTGTATGGTCCACTTCACGGTGTGTCATGTATGTGTGTGTGTGTGTGTGTATGGCACTATGGCAGGTCTACTTCAAGGTGTGTGTGTGTGTCACTATGGCGAGTCTATTTCAAGATGTGTGCGGCACTATGGCAGGTCAACTTCACGGTGTGTGTGTGTCACTATGGCAGGTCTACTTCATGATATATGTGGTACTATGGCAGGTCTACTCATGAGGTATGTGGCACTGTGGTAGGTCTACTTCAAAGTGTGTGGCACTATGGCTGGTCTACTTCATGATAGGTGGCACTATGGCAGGTCTACTTCAAGGTAGGTGTGTGTGTGTGTGTGTGTGTGGCACTATGGCGGGTCTACTTCACGGTGTGTGTGTGTGTGTGTGTGTGTGGCACTATGGCGGGTCTACTTCATGATGTAGTTATTTCTGCTACAACGCGATAGTTGCGTTCTTGTGAAACCTCGCGCAATAGAAATAACAGGGCTTATGGAGAAAATAACTTTAGGTGCAGATTACTTGAAATTGAAACAAATATAGTAGTTGGCCTAACACAAAAGATAGCACAGTCTAAATAAATGTTAAATTAATTTCTAATAATTAAATAATACAGTAAATGTAACACTTTACCTTGAAAAAATATGAAGATAACTTGATGGAGGAGAAGGGTGATTTTGAGGTTGATATGTCATGCAGACAGGGGCTGAGAGTCGTCATCATCAGGTGCAGTTGTGGTTGCATGGTTTGGACGAAAAAACTTTTAATTCCAGAAGTGGATGGCTGTGGTTCGATGTCTTCAGACTGTTTCTTCGGGGGTGCATTAAAAAAGACAGCTAATGTTTGCTACTTTGCCACTTTTCTTCTTTCATAAAGAAGTTGTTCATAAGGTGCCAAATAAGATCCTACACCACGAACTGCAATCCTGCTTCGTTTTGCATTATAGTCATTAACTTCCAAGAGCTGCAACTGTTTCTCAACTTCCCTCAGGATAGAAAACAAAAGAGAAGTGGGAAGCTCTTGTGATTTTGCATCCTGAACTTCATCCTCTTCTATTTCCCCAGCAGCAACAAGTTGTTGTAGATCAGCTGTAGAGAAGTTTTCACAATGGGACTCCAGCAGGTCCTCAACATCTTCACTCTCCACTTCTTCAAAGCTAACTTGCTTTGCAAGAGCAAAACAATTTTTTTTTATTTTTGGGAGCTCCTTTGATGCATCAAAGCCTTGAAAATCATGAATGAAATCTGGGAAAAGCCTCCACCATACTCCATGCAAACAGTCCTTACTGACTTCACCCCAGGCCTCCACAATGATGTCAATTGCATACTTGATATTAAAACGCTTCCAATATTGAAGAACACTGGCCTTATCATCCCCCTCCTCAGTAGCTGTATCAGCTTCGTAAATGTGCGCCTTAAATAATAGGCTTTCAAAGATACTATTACACCTTGGTCCATTGGTTGAAGGAGAGATGTTTTACTCAGAGATAGAAAGAGCACTTTTATATTGTCAGAAAGCTCAGCAATGGTGGGAGGGCGGCTTGATGCATTATCTAAAATGAGGAGAATCTTGAAATCTATAGTCTTCTTCTTGCACTATCTTTTAAAAATGTTTTTGAAAACATCCACAAAGCCAGAAAAAATTTTCCCCATCATCCAACCTTTTTTGCTTAACCTAAAGTAAATACCTAGAGTAGATTTTAGGTAACCTTTTAAAGCTTGAGGGTTGGCAGAGTGATACACCACCACAGGCCTAAGTTTTAAGTCTCCACTAGCATTGCCACCCAACAGCACTGTCATACGATCCTTCGCAGCCTTAAAGCCTGGAGCATGTGCTTAACTCTTAGAAATGTAAGTTCTTGATGGCATTCGCTTCCAGTATAATCCGGTTTCATCCAAATTAAAAATATGGTCTAAGGTGTAGCCTTCTTCCTCGATCAATTTCTTCACTATGGGAGGAAGTGTCATCACCACTCCTTCATCGGCACTGGCTGCTTCGCCGCATAACTTTACATTATGAAAAGCATAGCGGTTCTTAAAACCAGAAAACCATCCACTACTAGCAGTAAAGGCAATCACATCAGCAGGATTTTCAGCCTTTTTTTTTAGGTCTTCGTAAATTGATGGTGAGAAAGCTGGTCCCATATCGCTTTTTCGTTTGATCTTCTATCCAAACACTTGGAAGCCGTTCCATCTCCTTAAGTTCCTTTGGCCGTGATTTCACAGATTTGCAAGCACTCAAGCTTGTTCCAGCAATAAAGCTTGCTTTAATCTTTTCTACATTCTCTAATGGTGCATAACGTAGACTCCTTTATTCCTGTTGCACAGTTCAAAATGCTTAATAACATCGAGCTTCTCTTCAAGTGTTATAGCCTTTCTTTTACATTCACCACCGGCAATTCGATCACCAGAACGCTTCTTGGAAACATTCTTCTTACCTTGTCTTTCCATATTCATGGCTAACACAACAAAATTGGAGAAAACAGCAAAAATCACGGAGGACACTTCAAAGATAATTCAACAGATCACGTGATGTAAACAGAGAGTGCTGGTGTATACCGTTATTAGTCCGCACTGCGAAACATTCTTTTTACTTATTTATGGGTAACAGCTAAATTTGCAAAAAAATAAAATAAATAAATTTATAGAGTACCTCTCAAAAAACACTTCACAAACAAAACACAGGAATCAATTGAACATGTGATGTCGAACGTGAACTGTAAACATTGCATAACCCCGCGCCACGCTACACTTAAAATGTTGAAGATGGAATTGCGTTATAGCCAACATTCGTATGCAAAAGTTCACGTTTTACAAACAGCGTTGCCCTATTCATCAATTGCATTACTGTATTACCAAATCGCGTTGACAAAGCATGCGTTATAGCAAAAATGACTATGTGGCACTATGGCAGCTCTACTTCACGGTGTGTGTGTGTGGAACTATGGCGGGTCTACTTCAAGGTGTGTGTGTGTGTGGCACTATGGCTGGTCTACCTCAAGGTGTGTGTGTGCCACTATAGTGGGTCTACTTCATGATGTACGTGACACTATGGCAGGTCTACTTCATGATAGGTGGCACTTTGGCAGGTCTACTTAATGATGTATGTGGCACTATGGAACGTCTACTTCACGGTGTGTGTGTGACACTATGGCAGGTCTACTTCATGATGTGTGTGGCACTATGACAGGTCTACTTCATGGTGTGTGTGTGTGGCCCTATGGCAGGTCTACTTCATGGTGTGTGTGTGTGTGGCCCTATGGCAGGTCTACTTCATGGTGTGTGTGGGGCACTATGGCAGGTCTACATCAAGGTGTGTGTGTGTGGTACTATGGTAGGTCTACTTCATGATGTATGTGGCACTATGGTAGGTCTACTTCATGGTGTGTGGCACTATGGCAGGTCTATAACAAGGTGTGTGTGTGGTACTATGGTTGGTCTACTTCAAGGTGTGTGGGAGGCACTATGGCAGGTCTTCTCTATGGTGTATGGTACTGTACTATGGTGGGATCAAACAGTGATGAGCCTGTCAGGGTCAACAGAAGATCACAGTACCTTCATCAGGGGTGTAATAAAATATGTCTCAGTCAGTGCAGCAGCTGGTTAATAGCTCAGAATCATGGTTGACACTTTATTTCATTTTACAGCAATCACATTATACCATCACCCTCAGTTATGCAAACATTTTAACATTCTCCTTTCTGTATACTCACTGATGACACCAGTGGAAACAATGTGCTGAATGTTATGGTAAAGTAATTATGGTAATGATTCCGTCCATTAATTTAACTGCATTAATTTGTACAGGAAAATACATACCACGAGAAATTGTAAGTTAGCACCATAAGGAATATTTGATTAGTGATTAATTTCTACAGGGATTGATATTGATACAATTACATTGGTCTACATAAACAGTACACTAAAACATTGTATTTCAATGGGGCCACTTGAAATAATATACACGTATAAGTACAGCAATGGTAAAATATAATTATAGCTTGATGAGCAAATACTCTACACACACAAATATTAAGTACTAAACAAGCATGAAATAAACCCCTTGTTAAATTTGTTAAGTGAGTACAACAGTGAAGTAGATTACATGGTTCAGTAAAATATAACAAGATCACTAAATGGATACTGTTAACAAATGAAATACTGTATCTGAAAAGTTGTTTAGGTACACATTCCACTGAGTAAGTCTGGCATAAAAAGCTTCCAGATGAGAGGCTACAAATGACCCTGTCAGCTGGGGCACATGACACAGAGTATAGGTGTAGAGGATTACATGCCCCTAAAATGTCAATGTTATTATTGCACAGTGTATGACTGAGGTAGAATAAGAGCTACCGATAATTAATGTACAGTACTATAGTATTTATATCAACTTGCTAATTTTGAATCCTTTATGTACTTTTAGAGTTTATCAATCAATCAATATTTGAAAAGCATTAAAATCTTAAGAGGGGATAAATTGAGAATTTGTCAAGGAACAGTTTTTGGTCGTTTTAATTCTCCATTGTAAATACATGCTGTAACACATCTTACATTCTTTAAAGCTTGATTTGCTAAACAGCAGCCATCCAAGTAGCTCTAGCATACAGTATATAAGGGAGCGATTTGTCAAACCTAATTATACACAGCAAACATTATCACAACCCATGGTGTACAGTACTGATATTATAAATTTATGCACCAATGATTGAAGTGCATTTTATCTTCATGGGACACATTCAATAAAAGTTTAGGTATTGCTTACTGATTTTGCACATTTAATATCAGGGGTTTATTTAATAAACTTAGTGAGCAAAGTAAAGTTTTGAAATATTATGTAGCATTGAAATTTGATTCATTGCATCACTCTATAGGAGAAAAAAATAAATCAGAGGCTTGATACATGATGCAAATGTATCATCCTCTTAGTTAAAGAATGGAATGAGATTAACAGTGGTGGATCATTCTGTATCTTATTGAAGGCTTTAATTTATGCATAACATACCTAACATGAAAGATGCTTGCATGTTTAATAAATAATTTAATATGTAACAATACACAAAAAACCTTCAGATTTATTTACTAATGATAATCATCATCAAACAACACACAAATTTAGTTGATACTGTAATCACATGAATCAAAAGGTCAACATCAAACAGATTTATTTTTTATTAACCTCAAACTTTCCATATGGATTGTTTCAAAACTTATCAGCAACCATGGCAACTCCTTTCAATCCACAAAATGTGTGAAAAAATTTAAATTTCCCCTTTCAACTGCTGAATTCAACAGTGCTTACACAAAAAACCTTCAGATTTATTTACTAATGATAATCATCATCAAACAACACACAAATTTAGTTGATACTGTAATCACATGAATCAAAAGGTCAACATCAAACAGATTTATTTTTTATTAACCTCAAACTTTCCATATGGGTTGTTTCAAAACTTATCAGCAACCATGGCAACTCCTTTCAATCAACAAAATGTGTGAAAAAATTAAAATTTCTCCTTTCAACTGCTGAATTCAACAGTGCTTACATTTTAATCACATTGATTTTCAGTCCAACACTAAAAACTGTACTCACTCTGGTGCAAATGAGGACATTTCTGTTTTCACCTGATATGAGTGTTTTATTTTATACTGTACAGTACAGTACTAGTATACAGTATTTACTTCTTGTCTGGTTATCACACATTAAAGTTGGAAAGGATAAGGATGAAAATATTACATAAAAAAAAAGAAAAACGTACAACTACAGTATGTGAAGGTGGTGTAATAACTCCAGAAACTCAGTGGATAAACTTCTATTATAGTTATTAATTAATCGCAAAGCATCAACTTTATAACCGACTCTTCATCTCTTGTTATTTACGTTATGTTAACCATATACAGTACAGTACAGTAGTGTAGAGTATTGTATTCATATCACTTAAAAACATCAGAGAAATCAACATTACTGAATGAGTAATTATTGTATATTTCATCTAGTTCAACCTGTAAGTACCGTACTGAATATTTAACTAAATTTCTTGGCATAGTTTAATGATTTAATTATAGCTGATGCCTGTCAGTTTTGCCTAGATCCCAAGCTGGACAATTTTTGCCAAGGAAAATAATGGAACAAAAACAAAGAAGTTGACTGAGTGTGAGCCCAGTGGGTGCTGCTTTTGTTCAAGTGTACTATGCCATCATATCAGCCAACATCTTTACTCAATATAGCTATTGATAAAGACTTCAGCCACAGTAGACCAAACAAGAGACAGCCATGTTTTTTTTTTTTAATTCAACAGGTTGACAAGAAAAAATTCCTAATCATGTTACTTCCTTGGTACTATTTATCAATACTAGTTTTTGCCAAAAATATGAAAGAAAGAAAAGCTGTGCCATGATTTGAAAGAGAAAGATTAATATGAAGTGAAAGGTGAGAAAATTATACTCTTGCTGGATATAACAGTTCCAAACATATAACCTTGTAGGATTATTACAGGCTATTAAAAGTAAGAAAACACTCTCGAGGAAGTACAACAGGTTAAAAGGTCATGGATTTGGTAGTGATAAAAGAACATCAGGGGGAAGACTAAGAATGCTAAGAATTATATGAATTAATTTTTCTAACCCTGGTTGATCAAACTGGCTTTATGTTTGTAAAGGATTCTTAATTAGTTATAATCAATTACATGTTTTAAACTTAACTGGAAGCCTTTCCTGCCTCGGAGAGGTTTATGAAGAAACATAGGAAAGATTTTGACTTTAGAACAAAATCTATGTTGCCAACCAAATCACTCCTTGCTTTGTGTTAACACACCTGCCATTATGGCATGAAAACCTTCACCCAACACCTTTTTTAAGTGGAGGAAGAATACAATGATGTGCTACAACAATTAATACAAACAATCCGCATGATGTTAACAAGATGGAAAATTTATAAAATAACACTTTGCATCTTCAACCAATTACAACATTAATGTTATCTTCAGATAATCCACTACAGGGCAAAGGGAACAATATCTCACACAATTGAAGGTTATAAAATTCTTTATTTAAACTAAAAAAAAATACTAATGATAAAGAAACTGCTGTATCCAGGATGAGTCTTTGTGAGGGGGGAATGAATTTTACTTTTTTCTTTTTCATTTCTAGACTGATCAGTTGGGTGTAGGATAAACACTTTAGCTCAATGATTTCCTGATTACTATTCCACTTTCTTCTTCTCTTTATTTTCCACTTAAAAGTATACCTCTCAGCTATTGGTATTCATGCTGTAGCCTATTATGATTATGCCAGCAGTAAGAACACAAATACATTCAGCAACAGCCAAATTAAAATATTCAGCCTCTGCTAGTACGTATTCATGTTACGTAATGATTAAAGACCTCATAATCCTTGCTTTGGAGTATAATTTTTAGCAAAAGAGTCTACAGCACTTGTTTATTGGCTAGATATGTCATTACCTTAATTGGACTAACTTAAGGCAACAGCCCTATTGGACTTCTTGATGATAAGCATTGCAACATCCAAGGCATTCCCTAATCTCAAGCATCAGCTCTTATTTAACCTTAAGAGCACATACAGCATATACATGCCATCAAGCTTAGGGATTTGAGACAAGTAGTAACAAAACCTGTATTGATTTTTATTTCTCAGCTGAGGATTAACACATATACAGTACCTCTTATATACTGTAGTACTGTACAGTATTTTAGAAATATCCCAGGTGTTCAGATATCCACTGACACATTACCTCCAATGCCATCACTGTATACATAGTGTACAAGACATTATGTATGGAAAAAAGGGAACAAATACTTCATTTAATTTTATTTTACCAAAGTTGATTATTGCCAAATCAATATATCACACTGAAATAAACTTTAAAATCTACCAATGAAAACTATCAAACACAGTAATACTAACAATAATTGAAAAAAGAAGATATACCCCTGTATGTAAGCTACGGGATGTCCGATTGGTTAAAACACAAATTTATAAATTATACTATATATTGTCTGTTACCAAATTAATATTGGTCACTAAAGGAAATTGTACTTTATTTCATATACTGTATTTGAATAACTTGAATAATATAAGATAATTTTCTGTTAACCTCAGACACTGTAGTTATATTTTTCCAAAGCATTTCCCAAACTGTATGAAACAAAAAAGCAGTATAAGTACAGGAAACACTTATACAATACAGTAAATGGAAAAATTACCACCAGTATCTGAAAAGTACTGTATTGGCATTAAAAAAGATATGTATTTTACATTCACTTACATGAAGTAAAATACTTTAGGGAAACCCAAACTTCGAAACAAATGCCTTTGTAACTTCGAAAAGTGACTCTGAACAAAAATCAGTTATTTCATGTAATATTAGGACAGGGGAAATGGGTAATAAGAGGGTAAAATATTAGGCTTTGAAATTATTACTATATAAGACAGAAATACTGATTCCTGCACAAAGCCACTTGACAAGAGATGTTACAGCTGTCGAGTGCCTACACTACAGTGGAAGCTAATAGTGGGATATGATCAGCTTTTCTTCTTGTTGAGCGCCTTAGCCATTTGATCTCTCTTCGCAGTTGCTGCTGCCTCACGGGCTGCAAAAGAAATAACAGTTCTCACTTTGTACTATGACAACAAACACCACAGAAAATTAGTGACTACTAATGCATCAATATCTTGACCTAACAGTGATGGGCACCAAGTACACCAAAGGCAATACACCCTGTCAAACTTTTATGACAAGATTCGATTTGCATTTCACAAAATGGTTAGTAAAGAAAATTACCATCCAAGTTATTATCAATGTATAATTGATCCATTTCTAATCTAGTCCAAGTGACATACTCATACAAATTACCTTTTCAAACATAAAAATCACTCATGTGCCAGACTGCCAATCCATTCCAGTGCTAAAGGGCTAATGATCCTCCATAAGAAATTGCCAAGAAAATGGTAAATATTTTCAAAACAGGTAAAAAATATCAGCAGGTCACAAATGGGATTAAAAATGTGATAATGAAATATGAAAATGCTGTATGTACAGCATTAAGTACAAGATGTTGAGAGATGGAGAGCATGGGTTAATGCTGAATGAGTGAGAGCATTAATGAGAGTCAATATATAAAAGAATTTAATAGAGGCAATCTTATTAGTCTGTATCATTTATAACTTGCTCCATCCATTTAGGCAATCATTGCCACAGCTAAAATAGACAAGGTAATAGAAGTACAGGAAAGCCTCCGATAACGACGGTTCTACTAACGATGATTCTTATTTAAGACCCTGGTTAATTTAGGACCCAATTCAATTTACACCATTATTTTCTTTGTATTTATGACAAAAATATAATAAAATTATATTTTCATTTAAATAATAACTAAATGCATGTGGAGGCTGCCGGGCTTGTGAGTGGTGACGCCAGCATCACTAGTATAAACAGTGGCAGCTTGGCGGGCCTTTTGTTTTCATGTATCTGAACAGGAAAAGGAAAAAATTATCTGATTTTTATGGCATTTTTGCATCCCTATTCAACATGAGCAAGAGAGCAAGTGACTGTAGTGATGGTTCAAAAGCTAAAAGAAAGTGTAAAAGCTTAGCCGAGAAACTAGATGTGTTAAAACTATACGGTATGAAAAGGGTGAGAGGTCTGTGGATATTATATGGAGCAAGCAATAAACATATTTTCTGAAGTGGATCCATTAACAGAACAAAGCCTTAAAATTAACACGGATGTGAAACACGCATATGACCTCTACATAAAGATGTATAATGAGAAAAGAAAGCAGCTGTGCAAGGTTTAGCTTTATTATTCGAAGGCCTAAACCATCAACTTCAGCTACACCATCAAATTCAGCATCATAAGTAGCTTCAGCAACAACTTCAGGTTCAGAAGCAGCTTCAGCAACAACTTCAGGTTCAGTAACAGTTTCAGCAACAGCTATGACATCTTTATGAAAAGCTACAGCTTCAGCCAGAGTTGAACCTGTTCGCACAATATTCATTGGCTGTCCTTATATTTTAGACTTTACCACATTGGTGAGTAGAATTTTGTATTACTTTAGTAAGTATTATTTCAAACATATATGAACAGTAACAAGTGTTTGCTTTCATATTCTTATGTAGAGAAATGATGCTATGTTTTCACATGTACAGTCAGCCAAAGATGCAATTTTACCTGGCAATACTTGAAGGAAAGAAGGCTGTATGTAATGGGGATTGTGATTGGTGGATTTATTTTTGGCTGTATCACTGTTAGGATAAATATTAAACAATCCAAAAGTAGCAGTTTTACAATAATAAATTATTCATCATTATTTAAGATCATGACAGGTTTCCAAATATTTGCATAATTGCTTAAGTAATTAAGAAATTAATGTATATCAATGAATTGGCAACACAACTACAACCAGGGCTGCCACGAGATTCTCACATCAAATTTCAAGAATATACAGTATGTTCTACATTTAATCTTGAGTGTTTCATGAAGGAATTGATTGGCTTTACAATGTGAGCATTACATAATATATTTTGACATAAGTTAGAGAGCAGACACTGTAATACCCCTGTACATTCATTTGTCAGTCAAGACATTGTATCTTCGTATATTATAGTTCTCGGTCAGTGTGTGTGTGTAAATAAATTACATTCGTAATTATGGCAATTATAAGGCCTGACACCGCTGTGACCATGCTCTTTCTACACAGTGCCACCAGCAAACAACACCTCCTCCTCCGCGCCAGCCTGGCGGCTGCCGTTCCCGCCAGTGACCTTGGCATCCCTCAAGCCGCGTGTCCCTCCTCTGGGCACCCTCACCACCCAGCTCTCTCTACTCAACGCTTATAACGCTTATTACCATGCTACCTACTCAGCAACAAGCTGCATTGTACATCCAATACAATATGTATACAGTGAGCACATTGTGAGTTTCCTTTCTCCAACCCATCCTGAGTGTGAACCAATATCTCATAACCCCACAAATGGTCACTCCGGGGTCACCATTTGTAGGGGTATGTGATATTGGTTCACACTCAGGATGGGATGGAGAAAGGAAACTCACAATGTGCTCACTGTATACGTATTGTATTGGATGTACAATGCAGCTTGTTGCTGGGTAGGTAGCATGGTAATAAGCATTGAGTAGAGAGAGCTGGGTGGTGAGGGTGCCCAGAGTGAGGGCACGCAGCTTGAAGGAAACCTAGGTCACCGGCGGGAGCGGGAGCTGCCAGGCTGGCGCGGAGAAGGTGGTGTTGCTTGCTGGTGGCACTGGGTAGAAAAGAGGCTGGTCACAGCGGTGACAGGCCTTATAAGGCAGGGGTAGGCGTGGGTAGATAGTTGACCCCCGCTCCGTGGGCAGCGCTGGAGGCGTAGGCTGGGGAATTCGAGAAGGTTCAGTGCTTGTAGGGGAGGAATCCACTACAAGGTCGTGTTTCTCACTTTTGGTCTTTTTTTCATTCTTGTATTTATTATTATTATTGCTGTTGTTATTTTATTATTATTATTGCTATTATTATTGTTCTTATTATCATTATTATTTTATTGTGTATTTTTTATTATAAATTTTATTAACCATGAATTATTATTATTATTACTATTATTACTACATCTTAGGCCCCCCCAGGCTCCAATGTGGGTCGGTGACCTGTGCCCGGATGGGCTGATCCTGTAGGGGGGGGGGAAATGAGGGTGGGGTGTGTGATTCACCACGAAAAAACTTTTGGTTTTCGGAATTTCGGATAAGGGATTATCAACCTGTAGTAATTAATGATTCATGATACAATGATTTACCTTACAGTGCAATATTGGAGGACATATTACTGTACCATACTTATTTGAGGCATTACTGTAATGTAATATTTTTCAGTGCAACTTACCAATGTTGACAACTACAGAAAATTATGCTTCATGCCACTGTATCCAGTCATTTGAACTCTTCACTCTAATGACACAGTCTTATAGAAAATACATATCCAAGCATGGCAAACTTGCATGTGGATGGTGGAACATAAGACTTAACGGTTTTGATGTAATTTGGGATGTACAGTTGTGGACAAAAAAAAATTGGCAGGGAGGGAGGTTATGGGAGGGTAAGGGTGTAGGTGGAGACTTAAAAAACCACTGCATTAGGGTGGCAGTGAAGTCTCCTTAAACATTCAGCTTTTATGGCTTTTTGTGAGGTTTTGGTGCACTGCATTGAGTTATTTACAGCATATTGTTAGTGTAAGGTGCACCTGACTCATAATTAGTAAAAAAAATATATATTTAATGAAGTGAAAAAAAAATTGTGACTTTTAATTGCCACCTCTATGCAATGGTGGTAAGTCTTCACCTACCCTTATCCTCCTATACACCTATTCCCTCCCTCCCTGCCAGATTCTTTTTGTTCACAACCGTACATTCAAAAGATTAAAAATGAAAAATATGAATACTAAAAAGAAAATATTTAATTCAACTATGTGCAAATGTAATCAATGAATCATCTTGCCCGAAAGAGAACGTTAATGATATTAGGAATTCATGGTAAAGATGGCTATCATTTTCCCAAATGATACCACAAACAGTGATTTAAATGGTGATAAAGAAGATTATGGAATAGTGTGAGTGATAATTACACTAGCCAATATAAATTAGTAGAAAACATGAAAATATTGCGATGTTATATCACCAAATTGAACAAAGTTGAAGAAGGAAGATTGGCATTTTATAAAAAACAAAAAATCTTAATCTTACTGGTGCAATGAAAATGATATATTAATAAACCTTGTCACAACCTCAGGTCTTCTTTCCCATTAAATTTCCAGATGAGGACTCTTAACTACTGCACTGTATTTTTCATATGAAACAAATGCATAATCAACTATAAAGTTGATAATGAAGACACAGCAGGGAAAAAAACAGAGGAGGAGGGGTGGAGCTCCATAAGTTGTGTTACAGGTAGATGATTCTATTGTTAAAAAGGAAGAACAGGGGAAAGAATCTGGGAATATTGTACAGTATGCAGTATTTTCTCAATTTAATAAACTAATTCGAGGCATCCCTTTCTGTTAAATTAAAATTTCCGCTAAACTGAGCGTGATTCTATTCAATTCTGCACCGCTTAGTGCACGGGTTTTGTTTACATCCACTCAGTCTGTGTCCTGCTGCCACTGGTCAACTAACTACTGCGCTTAGACATCATGCCAAAAGTCTCTCAGAAGTCTCAGAATGGAAGTGGAGTGGAGGAGAGTCAAAAGAGTGCAGCTATCAATTTGAAAAAAGTTTGGAAATAATAGAAAAAATACAAACACACTGAACACCCTAGTTTAAAGTTAGCCATGAATAATGTTTCTATGTACTATCGTGCACAAAAGTCGTGTCCACTACCCAGCCACAGTTAGGGTTCGAATGACCTGTTTGAAGTTTCGAAACAGCTGGGGGAAATGCTATGGTCAGCCAACAGATGTCGCCCACTGTAGTGTGTGTGTGTGTGTGTGTGTGTGGGGGGAGGAATAGGAGGTGGGGGCTGGATGAGAGGCAGGTTGTGTGAGAGTGGAGCATTATCACGAACCCTATACACGGTAATGATAAGTAAGAAATGTGACAGAAATGGTTTATATTA